CATGGTTTCAGTCCCCTGGGGCAAGGAGAGTCCTGTGCAGGATGCAGAGACTGGGCGTGGCTTCCTACAGATAGATATTCAGATGCCACTGAGCTGTGGTCTCTGAGGCCCAGGGCAAGGCTGCTGGCTGGACCGCAGGCCCTCCTCCCTGCCTTTTCCTCCAGCTGCTCTCTGTGGTCTGGCTCTGGCCGCCTGGGCCTCAGGGCCAACCCTGCATGGCTTTGACCACTCTGTGGCCTTCTTGGACTGCCGAGGACATGCGGAGAGTTCATTGGGTTGGCCCAAGTGCTGAGCCCAGGACAGGTGGGGACAGGCAGGATGGGGCATCACCTGGAAAGCCAGGCACATTTCTCCCTGGGACACCAATTCTCCTGTAGAGTTGGCCAGCTCAGGCACCCTTGAGGGTGAGCTCTGTGTGGCACAAAAGATGCCCTGAGGAGCCCAGCCTCACCTGGTGTGATGGGACGTGTGTAAGTTGTGGGAAATGGTCCTGGCCGCCTGTGTGCGCACCTGCCCTGTACCCGGGTCAAGATGTGGTGACCAAAAGGACAAGGACTGTATCCACGGCTCCCTTCCAGAGCCCAGCAAGTCAGCAGGCATGGGAGGGTGTTAGACTGCTGTAGTGCACCTGCGTGGGGGCCTTGCTGCACCTAGGGAACATGCGGGCTTGGCTTAGAGAACACATAGGGGCCCAGGCAAAGGCAAGGTCACAGGTTAGGGAGGTGAAGCTGGCAGGTGAAGGGGGGACCTGCTGGCCAGAGCTGGGTTGGGGGCCGGTGGGCAGTGGGCCTGGCTCGAGCAGGGGGCGAGGGATTGGAGAGAAAGGCAGTTCCTGATGGTCCCCTCCCCAGGGGCTGGCTTTCCTCTGGTCCTTCCCTCCCAATGACCGCGTCTTCGTCGAGGCCACAGCCCTGGGCTCTGCACCCACACCTCCAGTGCCAGGCTGCCCAGAGATCCTTGGACCACGGGGCCCTCCCTGCCACTGGTTCCTGGAGGGCCAGTCTGCTGCCCCAGCACCCTGGCCAGCCAAGAGGGTAGGGTCCTGCAGCTGAACTGCAGGTGCCTTTCTGTCTGGCCTGTGGGTATCAGTGGCCAGAACTGCCCTCGTCCATGGCCTTGCCAGCAGCTTGTGCAGCCCAGGGAAGGCTGAGGTCAGCTGGAGCTGAGACCAGTGGCCTTCTCTAACACCCCAGCGGAGCCTATCCCTGGTGAGCAGGCCTTGGGCTTCAGGCCAGTGGGATTCCAGTGGGGACGGGCTGGCAGGGCTTCTTCAGTGACTGCAGCCAGGGGTTCTCAAGTGCAGGAAGGGCCAGCTCCTCCAGAGTGAGCGGACTGTGTCTTCTGGCCACGTGGTGAGTGCTGGGCCCACCCCGTCAGTGGCACCTAGCAAGTGGACACCTGGGAGTACTCCCAAAGCTCAGCGTGTTCCCCAGCTTCCTGCACTGCATTCAGGATGGTTCTGCCTCATCAGCTGCACCTGATCTGCTCTTAAACCCACAGCTGAGCTTGAATGTGCAGTCACCGAAGCTTTCATTTCTAAAAGAACTATCTAAGAGTTCCTTTTGGCCGGGCGCAGTGGCTCATGCCTATAATTTCAGCACTCTTTGGGAGGCCGAGGCAGGCAGATCACCTGAGATCAAGAGTTTGAGATCAGCCCACAACATGGAGAAACCCTGTCTCTACTGAAAATACAAAATTGGCTGGGCATGGTGGCTCACGCCTGTAATCCCAGCATTTTGGGAGGCCGAGGCGGTCAGATCACGAGGTCAGGAGGTGGAGACCATCCTGGCCAACATGGTGAAACCCCTTCTCTACTGAAAATACAAAAATCAGCCGGATGTGGTGGTGCATGCCTGCAATCATAGCTGCTTGAGAGGCTGAGGCAGGAGAATTGCTTGAACTTGGGGGGCGGAGGTTGCAGTGAGCCGAGATTGCCACAGCACTCCAGCCTGGTGACAGAGCATGACTTTGTCTCCAAAAAAAAAATTAGCTGTGCTTGGTGGTGTATGCCTGTAACCCCAGCTACTGGGGAGGCCGAGGCAGGAGAATGAACCCGGGGAGGGGGACGTTGTGACGAGCCAAGATCACGCCATTGTGCTCTAGCCCAGGCAACAGAACAAAACTCTGTCTCATAAAAAAAAAAAGTTCCTTTTGCCGCTTTCTAAACCCAGTTTGCTCTTATCACTTCCTTTCCCCTGCAGGTATTTCTGAGCTGTTTTCTTTCTGCCATCAGAGCTTGGTTGGTTGATGATGCATGTGTGGGTATCTTTCTGCTGGCTCTTGTTAATGGCGCTTCTTTCATGATGTGGTTCTTTCCGACTGTGGACTGCTTCTGGTCTTTCAAAAATGATTTTGAGACTTCTTCGAAGTATAGGATGAACTTTGCCCACAGGGCACTACCAGTGCTAGAGTCCCTTTAGCCTGTGCTTGGCTTGCCAGTCCTTGTACCCCCAGTGTGGACCTGGACGACTGGCCATGCCACAGCTTCTCAGGAACTTCCCCTCACTTTTGTGCAACGTCTCCATGACCCCTGGGGATGGCTGTGGCTGTAGCTCAACTCTCCCTGAGTCTTGCTCTTTGGAGTCCCAGCCTAACTTAGGGGAGAGTCTCCTGTTAGGTTCCCCATCTTGTGGGGGTGGCTGGGACTTGTCTTCTGTCTCCCTCTCCCTGAGGCCACCAGAGCACAAGCCCCAGTGTGTCCAGTGGGCAAACAGTCTCAGGCAGGATTGGCCATTGTGTTCTTCTGCCCTCTGTGGGCCATGCCCTCTGAGGTGTCGGCTGAATCCTACAGGAGTTCATCAGCTCCTGCAATTTTTAAGATGTCTTCATATATATATATATATATATATATATATATATATATTTTAAGACAGAATTTCTCTCTTGTTGCCCAGGCTGGGGTGCCCAGGCACGGTCTCGGCTCACTGCAACCTCCGCCTCCTGGATTCAAGCCATTCTTCAGCCTTAGCCTCCCGAGTAGCTGTGATTACAGGCACCCACCACCACACCTGGATAATTTCTGTATTTTTTGTAGAGACGGGGTTTCACCTTGTTGGTCAGGCTGTTCTCAAACTCCTGACCTCAGGTGATCTGCCTGCTTCAGCCTCCCAAAGTGCTACGATTGCGGGCGTGACCTACCATGTCCGGCCAATGTCTTCATATTTTATTGAGCATCTTGGGTTGTTTTTACTAAGAGGATTGGCCCTAGTAGCCTGCCAACCCTTGGGTGATGGTCCCCTGTGGGCATTGCCAGGGCACCCAGGGAGGGGACCCAGTCCAATTCCGGCCCCCCCGGGGTCAGAAAAGGGCCCCTGCAACAACACACCCTTTAGCTCCCCATCCTATGCAGAGCGGTGGCCAGCAGACCATCTCAAATGGCTGCACATTCACCAACACCCAGTGCATCTGCAGGTGGCAACACCTCGCCTGCACACCCACCAGCTCCTCACTGGAGCAGACGGTCCCCAGTGGCCATCCCTGATGCCCGTGCCTGTGGAAGCATGTACACTGAGCCCTCTTCACCTCCCTTCCCACTCATTAGACTTTTCTCGGAGGAATCTTTTTTGCCTCTCTTCAGTATTTGAACAGCTTCTTGGCTGTCCCATGTCCCAGCTCTGGGCACTGGCTCTGCCCTGGAGCCATGTCACTAAATCACTGCACACACATACATTTCAGGGAACTTGGGTGTTACCCTGGGTGGCCTCAGGATCTAATCTCAGTCCTCCACTCATTTGCATTTTGGAAAACTGGCTGCTGGGTCCCAGAGGTCCCTGGGTGGGGACGAGGTGTGTGCTAAGTGTGTAGTCACCCATCATGTCCCTGTCACGTGTCCATGCCAACTGCTGTGGGTGTGTTGGGCCCTTGGGTCCTGTGGGATGGTGAGTGTGTGTGCTGAGCAGGGCCTGTAGGGCTGGCATCCCAGGTGAGTGGGCCACGCTGTCCTGCCTGGCAGGATGCTGGTGGAGACAGGGCTGCCTTCATTGGTGGCATGTGGGGTGGGGTTGGTGCTGTTGCAGGGGAGGAGATGTGCATGTGGGGGCGGGGTGTGGAAGGAAAACATACACAGTGGTCCATTTCCAAGACAAAATGTCTTAAATGGGATTAGGTGAGCAAACTACTGAGGAAACAGGATCTCCTAGGCCCCTGCTTGGATAGCCAATGCGTGCTTATCGGCCTTCCTCTTCCCCCCATTTCCCCCCATGTAGTTTAGTTTAAGATGAAAGTTTACCAGCCTGCAAAATAGCTTCTTTTGTCTGTTCCTATCAGCCTACCCAGCCACTTAGGTGGTAAGTTAAATACTTAAAAAGCCCCTGAGCTAACTAGGATTGTAGTGCACTGTGGGCTGCAAAAAATACAGTAAAACAACCCTGAAAAAGAAGTACCTGAAGCCCCTTCCCAACAATCAGTAGGTGACATCCGAGAAGATTGTGACAGCATAGTACTCAGCCTGTGAGGAACCAGGGCGGGACCTGCACACTAGAGGATAAATTGCTTATTAAAACTGGGTGTGCCTGCCTGTCAGACACCTGATCTTGGAAGAATGTCATTAAAATCTCACTCTCTCTTCTCCGGGTCTCTGAGGCCATTCTTTAGGCTTGGATGGGTAAGTTTGTTTTTCACAGTGTGGCTCCTGCCCTCACTGCTGCTGCCCCCTGGGGCCCACTGAGTACCCCAGCTTGGTGTGTCCAGGCCTCAAGAGTGCCACGGTGCTGAGGAGATGCTTCTGTTCAGGGCTGGTGTTCAGATGTGGGAGGTAGTTCTGACCCGGGCCCCTTTAGCCTTGCAGGTGGTGGAGAGAGTCTGGGCAGTGCTGATGAGCATGTGGGTTTGGGAGGTGTTTGTGTGCACAGGCCAGTGGTGTGGTGTTCAGCATGCAGTTCCCCCACACCAAGCAAGTACTGCAGGCAACACAGGTGGTTTTGTTCTGGCTTGCTGCAGGATCGGAGGGTGGCCCTGCTGTCTGCCATCCACTCAACTCGGTGTTTTCCTTTTCCCCGCAGACCTCTCAACCTGTGTGAGCAGAGCCGCCCTGCACCACCATGTGCATCATCTTCTTTAAGTTTGATCCTCGCCCTGTTTCAAAAAATGCGTACAGGTAACCCCCTTGCTCTGCGTCTAATGCACCTTGCAGGGTCCCAGGTGCCCAGCCAGTTCTCATGCCACCTGGGCTGCTGCATGTGGGAAGGTGTGTGGGCCAGGCTGGGGCTGCACAGGCCTGGCACTGCCCTCCGGGACAGGGTCACTCAGTGTGGGCAGGGACTCGACTTAATGTACAAAGATGTGAAGACTCAGCCACAGAAGGTGTTGGGTACCAGTCCCAGCCCCGTGCATGGGTGCCCTTAGTCCTGGCATGACGAGAGATTGAGATAAGGAAATAAAGACGGAGACACAAGAGTCGAATTTACTGTGTTGGCCCCTAGCTCTGGTTAAGTTAAATCCTTTTTTTTTTTTTTTTTGACATGGAGTTTCGCTCTTGTTACCCAGGCTGGAGTGCAATGGCGCCATCTCGGCTCACTGCAACCTCCGCCTCCTGGGTTCAGGCAATTCTCCTGCCTCAGCCTCCTGAGTAGCTGGGATTACAGGCACGTGCCACCATGCCCAGCTAATTTTTTGTATTTTTAGTAGAGACGGGGTTTCACCATGTTGACCAGGATGGTCTCGATCTCTTGACCTCGTGATCCACCCGCCTCGGCCTCCCAAAGTGCTGGGGTTACAGGCGTGAGCTGCCGCCCAGCCAAGTTAAACACTTTTATTACGTGCATAATCTCATTGATTTTATGGGCAGGAAAGGAGAGGGTAAAGGAGTAGGTAAGCAGTACTCTGAGTTTATCAGGGTGTGGCTGCATCAGAAATATAGCGGATGAGGAGTCATCCAGTCTGACCACTCCCAATGCATCAAGGGGCTTTTATCTCCGGAGCTTTGGGGACATAGAGCAATTAAAATCACGCCATATTCCCAGAACCTAGGCAGAGCCTGAGGTGTTCTGTGATCTCTGCCCTGCGAGGCTTTTCTCCTCCTTGCCGGCTCCCATCTGCAAAGACTCTCCCGGATCTCGTGAGCTGAGATCGCCTCCCTTCTCGGAGATCTTTGCATAAGCCCTTGTGAGGAGGCCCTCCTGCAGTCTCCATGCTGAGAAGGCATTCGTGGGACCGGGGCAGTATTGGCTGCTCTGAAACCACCCGAGGTGCTCCCCGGTGTTACTGCGCTCCCGGGTGGTCTTTACCTTAGGCCTCTAGTAGCCGCTTGATTTCTAATTAACTGCACCAATAATGTAGTTTAGTTTGGTGTATAAACTTCAATGTACTTTGAGACAAGCAAGCTTAGAACTATTTAGCTAGAATTAACATAGGTCTCCCCTTGGCCATCTTGACCCGCAGAAGGCAGCTGTGTGGGTAGGACAGAAGAGTGACATGTCCAGGTGGGCTGCCGTTCTATGGGCTTTAGGTGGGGGTCGGGCAGCAGAACTGGGGCAACAGTGTCAGTGAGCAAGAGCCAGCTTGGGCTGGCAGGTCACAGGTGCTGGTTAGAAGTTGAGGTGGCGGCCAGCCTGAGGTCTGTATATGAGTCCTGAGCTGAGGAAGGACTCAGGGAGGAGGGGATGCTGGGGACCAGCCAGAAGAGACAGAAAACCAAGGCCAGGATCCACCCCTGACCCTGGACTCAGGATGGCCACACCTCCGTTCCCCAGAACACCCCAGCATTTATTCACATGGAGAATGAGGCAGAGATGTAACCCACACCCAAAATGAAACTTGAAACCACTTTAATGGAATTGCTCGGGAAGATGTCATCATTTTAAAATCTATATTTTGATTTGAACCATTTCAAGAGGGTCTCAGATTTGAGTCACCGCAGAGTTGCATAGACACCATGCTGCCTGACTTCAAGACTGAATGAAGTCATTTCAGGCCAGGAAATAGGGAAGGAGGTGCGTCTGGGGTTTTCCCTTTTTGCAGTTTGGTGATGGCAGGGCCAGGCCAGGGTCCAAGCGGCAGACAGCATGCTGCAGGGTAAGTGGAAGTAGTGTTAGGAGCTATTGACTGCCACAGGGGCTGGAGTCATGTGGGGGTGGCTCGTGAGTGAGCAGAACTCTACAGAATGTAGGAATAGCAGGGTGAGGAAGAGCCAGTGTCTCTGGGGCTGAGCTGGGGTGCCCAGGGCAGAGCTTCCTCTTCCACCCCCAGCTAAGATCCAGACCTTGCTGGAGAGGGCACACCATGGCCATCTGGATGTCCTGGAAGTCCCTGGGGTGCCATGCTGGCAAGGCTTCCTGGAAATTTGCCTTCTAAGGTGCCTGGTAGCTGTCACAGGGTGGCTGCTAGGGGAAGGTACTGACTGCTGGGTGCTGGCTGTTGTGCCCTCAAGAGCTGGGAAAGCCTCAGTTGTTGCAGAAGCCTCCTGAGAAAGAATGCAGGAGCTGGGAAAGAAGCCTTCCTCCTCCAGTATCTCTCCAGCGCCCTCTTCTGACAAAACTTAACATGGAACCAGCTGATGTTCAGCCCCATTATCACAGAGCAGGTGATGCAGGGTGAATTTGGAGCTGAGATGCAATATATCAGCTCCTCAGCTTTCCTACACACCCTTCTATGCTCACTTAAACTTCCATGTGCCAGCCAAGTAACTGTATTTCTATGACTAGCAAAGAAGTCCCAAATAAAGAGACATAGCCCAAAGGCCCCTGAAGCTGTCACTGGCTGCCTTCCATTACTTCCAGATTAGCCACAGCCTCACTTAATACTGTGTTTCCAAAGTTACCTCTGACCGCCTGCACATAGAGTAAAACCGGGGAGAAGGAAGAAGACAACAGTGAGCATACACAGCACGCCCATAGGCAGCAGGAAGGAGCTGCGCACCAGCATTCTCGCTCCTGGGCATGCACCGGGCTGTGGCTGGGCCCTGGCTTCCTTCTGCTGCACCCAGCCAGAACCTCTGCTGCTCTGGGTTGCATACCTGGGGAATGGCCTGAGGCTTGGTTTTAGTTGCTGTAGTTTTCCACCAGCCAGTCCCCTTGGGCCTGGGAGCTGGGACTCAGCGGCTCATCCACGGAGCAACTCTGCCTGCGTGGTCATCACTGGGAGAGGCTCTGCTTCCACTGACTCTAGCCAGCAGGGCCACACCCCAGGCCTCCACGTTCACCAGCTGGGCCTCACAGCATCTCACAGGTCACCCTGACCTCAGGTCAGCCGGAGCCCCTGGGACTCTCCTTCACTCACTGTTTCCCTCCTGTCACTTTCTTGGCCACAGTCGGATAACTGGGAAACAGGCAAGAGTAACCCAGGGTGAAAACTGCCAGGCCTTGTCCCTAGGGTGTACACTGTGACTGTCACAGCTGGTGCTCAGGAAAGCGGGAGGACAGTCCCTTTGAGTCTATTCCCATGAGGCAGAACCAGTGAGAGGACAGAACCCTGGCCTGGGCTGTCCACAGTCACAGGGCGTTGTGAGCTAAACCACGTCTCCTGCAAACGCCCATGTTGAAGTCCTAATTGCTGATACCTAAGAATGTCACTGCATTTAGAGGCAGAGCCTTTAAAGAAGTGATTAAGGATGGCTGAGTGCGGCGTCTCATGCCTTTAATCCCAGCACCTTGGGAGGCTGAGGCAGGAGGATTGCTTAAAGCCAGAAGTTCAAGGCTGCCCTGAGCTGTGATCATGCTACTACACTCCAGCCTGGCTGACAGAGTTGGCAATGACTCAAAAAAAATGATTGAGGCAAAATAAGGTCAGGTGGGTAGGCCCTAATCAATATGATGGGTAACAAAGATACACACAGGGGAAGCTAGTGTGTGTACAGAAATAGGGGCGGTCCTCTGCATACCAAGAAGCCCTCAGAAGGAGCCAGCCCTATTGATGCTTTGATCTTGGACCTCCAGTCTCCAATGCTTTGAGACATTAGTGTCTGTTGTTGCTACTGCCTACTCTGTGGTGCTTAGTTATGGCAGCTCTAGGAAATAAGCACTCCGGAGAGCTGGCCGGCTCTGTGTGGGTTTCAAGGTGGCTTCCTGCAGGCTGTCAAAGAGACTCGACCCGCCCCAGGTGCTCGCATCTTTGGGGAGGAAGCTTGACAGCTGGCCTGCAGGTGCTGGTCAGTGCCACCTGGCTCCGAGTGGAGAGGAGGAGGGTTGACATGGCCTCTCGTGCTTTCACTCAGCGCCTGTGTGTCACTGCCGGGACCCGCCCTGTGTGTCCTGCCAATCAGTTGGCCTCGGCATTTCTCTGGACTATTTTCCAAAGGCCTAAGCCGGGGATGAAGTATGCCACCTCCGGGTGACTGAGCAAATGTGCACTGTGTTTTCCTGACTTTGTGGGGGGATGTGAGACACCTCTGGTGGCTGCTTCTGCTCTAGCTGTGGGATGTTTAGCCAGGGGAAGGGCACGCTGCAGGCTGGGGCACAGGGGCTTCTGCAGAGCCCCTGCCAGCACTGCTGCAGCACTTCGGGAGGTCTTGTGCAGGTACTCAGCTAGGCTGGGCTGGGCTCCTCACCTGTGGACTGGGGTAAAAAGTGGGGTGCTTTAAGCCACTGTCCTTTTTTTTTTTGAGACGGAGTTTCGCTCTTGTTACCCAGGCTGGAGTGCAATGGCGCGATCTCGGCTCACCGCAACCTCCGCCTCCTGGGTTCAGGCAATTCTCCTGCCTCAGCCTCCTGAGCAGCTGGGATTACAGGCATGTGCCACCATGCCCAGCTAATTTTTGTATTTTTAGTAGAGACGGGGTTTCACCATGTTGACCAGGATGGTCTCGATCTCTTGACCTCGTGATCCACCCGCCTCGGCCTCCCACAGTGCTGGGATTACCGGCTTGAGCCACTGTGCCCAGCTGTGCTTTTATTATTATTATTATTTTTTACTCCCCCCCAGTGGAATATATTATTATTTTTGAGACAGGATCTCGCTCTGTTGCCTGGGCCGGAGTACAGTGATACAATTATAGCTTACTGCAGCCTCAAACTCCCCGCTTCAAGCGATCCTCCCACTTCAGCATGTCTGAGTAACTGGGGCCACACCATGCCTGGCTAATTTTTTCTTTTGTTGGTAAAGACACAGTCTCACTATGTTGTCCAGGATGGTCTCAAACTCCTGGGCCCAAGCTATACTCTT